TGTTTACAATGTTGTATCTCTACAACGAGGTTATATTTTGTCAATTCGTATTTATCCTAATAGACTCATAGTATTATTGGTTAAATATTTACTATAGAAACTATAAATTATTATAAAGACTCATATGTATTCAATACACTGCCGATTTGCAAAAACTCGAAAGTTTTTCATGTTTGGATTATTTATAAAAAATATTGTTATATCATTTCAGGGATGACGATACCGCGCGATTATTTACAAATTAATTAGGTTACTGGAAAATGGAATAGTAATCGTCTTCCTGGCCATATCCTATATAATTTGAGAGCGGCGTAATTTTTTTTATTTATTATTTTTCAATTTACGTCTAGTTACATTCACTACTTCTCCAGGCATATAATCAATCACACAGTAATTTAATTTCTTCAGGTTTTCATATATTCTAATACTTCTATCAGTGGTAGGCACTGCCTACTAGGCAGGTATGACGGAACCACGATTGCTCCTAATCTGATATACGTGTTATAGTTTTATAACAACATGTGTTTTATGTTGTTTTATTATAGTCAGAAATAAAATGGCTCACGTTAGAGCTTTTTAGAACTTCCATTTTTAGAAATACGTAGGTAATAATGACGTCACATACTTCAGTTTAAAAAATCGGCACACAACAGGTATTCCTGTCGTGACTAATATATTGTAAGCAAGCTTTTGGAAATTACGTCATGCGATGTTGTTGACCCAAGTGTTGACGCGACCAGTCATCATTGCAATGTGTAGCGGGTGAGGCCGTACTGCTACCTTCATATATCTTATAAAAACTTCATTCTTTTTTTCAGTCCTCGATCCTCGTTTATAATTTATACTTAAGTTAATAAAATAATGTAAAGATCGTATTATTTTTTAAATGTCTGCATACTATTTGCATAATAGAAACTAAAACAAACATTCTAAGTATAATTGACTGCCTATCCGTATGATATATAATCTAGATATTACAAAATTTTGCAAATATTATCAAAACAGAAACTTACGGAATTTCAAAGGCACAGTTTCAATCGAATAGTGCACACTGAAAGAATTCTGAAATTAATATTTAAGAGGCCTTACACGTGTGGCCATGTGTTCCCAGCATAGAATAGGCCACCCCTTCCTTTCCAGTGGGTGTCGTAAGAGGCGACTAAGAGTGAGATGGGCAGCAGCGTTCCTCTTAAAACATTTTTAAAGCCTAACTACAGTTGCCAATCTGCCTGCCAACAAAAACGAATTCCCCAAGGGAGAGGCTTATGTTCAGCAGTGGACAATTAAAAGCTGATGTGATATGATGATACACATAAAGAAAAATCAATACCTTTTTTTAAGTTAAAGATTTATATGTAGACCCATGTCTTGGAAAAGCAAAGATGAATGAAGTTTATTCAAAACGGACTTTTGAATCATGACGTCCAATTTCGCTATTCTTTTTTTACTAAACTATATATCTATGTAAAATTAAAGTCACGATCAAATTTGTTAACTGTAAAAAAATATTAGATTTACATAAATACCTAATTTAAAGTGTATAAAACATATACGAGTAGTTCGGAAAGTTCAATGCCGTTATGTAGCAATACAAAAATAAAGCCTCAATTACACATGCTAACACGAGTACATATCAGTGAATGGACATTCAATGCATTCTCATATCAGCTATTTAATGACCACTGTTGAACTATGTCTATATTTCTAACTACAACCGGTTAAGCATTACATGGATACTTCAACACGATTTTCCTATATCATAATTATATAAAAAAGAAACCAGACTATCGATGGTCTGGTTGACACACAGGTCAAACAGTGGCACGGCACAACATATGTGAAGCTAAGTGATGTATTTACATTGAAATTGTTACAACTATCAGTAGAATTTAGAGAATTATTATTATGCAAGCAGGCTTTTATTCAGACATTAAAACTACACAGATAATCTTCATGAACTGAATAATATATATAAATATATACATTTTGTCTTAAAGGTAAATGTTAAGATTTACTGAGTTAACAGTTCGAATTATTACCATTAAAAGTTGGTCATTTGTTTTACTCAAAAATCTAAGAATTCACCATATTTAATTCGAACTTTTACCGTAGAGTTGATTTATCTATTATATGTTACATACATACATTAATGGAGAAATATATCAGTACTTTATGCCGTATCCACACCACACGATTGCGACTCTCAAATTAGTATTAATGTTTAATCGTGCACACACCTAGTTTGAAGTCATCGGTAATCAAAGTCGCTGATGTGTCAACCGACCTTATACTCTTATTGTGGAACTTGATAATCATGAACCTAAATCTTAACCCTCTTCTACTTAATAGTTCTACTTTTCTTACAGTTTCACTACTTTTTCACTAATCTTCATATTGAATTGCCAACTATTACGTAGTTTGGACTCAGAAGACAAAATCCAACTTTGGATAGATTTTTCTGTGTCTCGTTATGTCATAAATAATGCTGCAAAATATGACAGTAACATGCAATCCAAATCAGATAAAGTATTGTTCATTTACCGCTTCCATTATAAAAATCAGCGGAGTACTAGCTTGGCGTATTAAGAGCGTTCCATAACATTTGCTTACTAACGTCGCCATTATCTGTCAATTTTCAAAAACAAATTAACATTTTTCAGTGTTTCTGATTGATTATTTAAAAAGTGCATTGCTAGCGAACTAAAACGTTAATCAGAGAATACATTACATATGAATCTATTATTAAAAACTTCATTGAAAATTTTAATAACTACCGATTTAAATAACAGACGTATACTGGGTGAACGTGTGCCTGACTCTAAGTTACAGCCGCTCATGATTAAGGATCACAAATTGATTCCTAAACTAGTCGAGCTTTCTAGATATAATTATACATAAGTTAAAGCGATAATTATTACATTACAACATAATGTGTGCTTACGAAAGTTTCAGTAATGAAATTGAAAAGTTTGCACCTACTTCATTCTTGTTTTTTAAATGGGGGTGATAATGAAATGGTAACCCCGCCTGCGCTAACGGTATACGCTGGCACGGCACCAGTGAGGGATGATAGATGAGGATGAAAGCAGGTCAGTTAGCCCATCGTGAAGAATTCCACGAGAAGTAACCACGATGGTTTCCAAGGGGAGCCATGTGAAGGTCGACCTGATTAGTAACATTGCTAGCAATGAGGCTGTTTGACCCTATCGCTAACAATCCCTTTCCCCTCTTACTTTATATTAACGTTTTATTTCAGAGTCCTTTTTAAATAAATAATTAGAAACACTGAAAAATATTCAATTGTTTTTCAAAATTAGCGGATAATTGCGACTCTACCATAATTCGTCATAAACGTTCTTAAATGCGGTGCTAGCAATCACGGATTTATATTAGGATGTATTCAAAGATCTTATTGCGATTTATAGTATTCACAATAATCATTAATCACTTAACTCTACAAAAAAATATACGTGACATGTACACAATAAATGCGCATTTAAATCAACAATTGGTGTGGCGGCGTAATTAGCGACATCACCTCCACCCCGCTACTTGGGTAAACAAGCAACCATGATGTCATACTGGTGTTGTTGACCCAACTACTATATAGGCATCCACGTGGATTTGAGTACGTCACTCGGAAGATTCAAAAGTATACTAGGAACTATTGTAATTTATGTAGGTGTAAGTACTTTTATTAGAACAAAATAAAATTTAAATAGTGCCGAGACGTTTACAGCGAGGTGGATAATCAGTGTACGTAATATAAAATTGTACTATAATATAATAATATTTGTAAGGTTATAGGTATCGTTTTGCTTACAACATAGGTATATATAAATTAGGAACAATAATGCATGGCACGATTTCATAAAAATTAACATTAACATAAATTAAGATATGACCAAACATTTCGTTTGTTTTATTCTACTTACGACCGTTTCTACTAAAGCTCACCAAAACGTGACGAAGACGAAATTATCTTCTAATTTATGAAATATTTTACATATATATATATATATATATATATATATATATATATATATATATATATATATATATATATAACGAGAACTCGAGAACGGCTAAACTAGCTAATTTCGGTTTAAAATTTTTGTAAAAATCCAAAGAAGGTTCATAAGGTGAAAAAGTATGAAGAACTAGGAAGGAACATAATAAAAACAACAATTTTATTATTTTATCTTATACATACTGTTAAACAGGGGCGTTCAGAAATAAATTTTATTATTTCTGTTATTTTTTCTTAATTTTATTTCTATGTATATTTTATTATAGTATTTCTATATGTACTGTATATGTTTTCTGCAAATTTTTAGTTCTTGAACTTTAACACATTATTTAATTCTTAGGCGACACCAAGTTCACCTGGTCAACTAGTTTTCAATATATTTAATTGATTATTCAATAAGGGTTCTGATAGCGAACTAAAACATTAATCATAGAATAAGTTACGTTAGGTCACATACGTTTACAAATATCGTTAGGACAAAACTAACGAGTTTGACAGTTATTTATCGATTCCCCAAACTCATTCTCCATTAAACGTTAATTAAAATGACACTGATATGCCATCACGTTTGACTGGTTACATCACACATAATAAATTTGCAATTTATTCTATGTCAGTAAAAAAAATACGATATGTAACCCTAAAATTCATTTTAGACGCACATGCGAATACCACACATCACTTCTAAACCAGCGAACAGCGAATTGAGACGACCAGCGTTATTTTGTCCCATATCACCAGCTACCACTTTTTTCTTACTAGTGTAAAAATTTAATAAAAAAATAATTCTTACAATTCAAAGTTCCATCTACAAATTTATACGTATCTGTAAATTTCATAGCCACTTTTGTCATGTCTCTGACAAAAGTGGCTATTAAAAAAATCACAGAAGTTTAAAATGTACACTCCAATTATTTCTTTTTTTGAATATGGCAAATAATAAGTGGTTAATAAAAGAATAATATCATACCTTGAGAAAGCTCCTTTGATGGTCCCATTGGCTTTATTAGACGTTGAAAGATCAGTGACATCAGACTGTATAGATCCTGGAACCTCGTAGCTGTTAGATTGTTGTTGCGATTCGCACATTAGGGGCTCCCTACGGCAGGAGATTGATGGCCGTTTAGGGGTCGTAGCTCGTGGATACGTATGGTGGCGGACGCTACTCGTCGAGGTCAAGTCATTGCGCCGTTGCTTCGGCAGAGTCCTAGCGCAGAGAGCACTCGCAGCATTTTTCAGGTGTGTTCGAAACCTGTTGTTGCCAGCGGTGCTTAGAATTGCACCCTCCATAATCACCACCAATGGATCACTTCACTCAATGTATATTTTCATCCATATTTATATGGTATCACGTCACTGTCAACATTAAATCACTATTTCACTGTAAACTCATGTTAATTTTAATAGTAAAATCATCAGTCTATGGAGAACTGCACTTCATAGATATTTGAGTATAATATTACCAATAAAGCCATCACTACGTGATTGGATATAACTTTGTCTGTTAACTGAAACATTGACAACAATTTATTCATAGATTTTTAATCAAAAATGTGATACACTAACAAAATAAAAATTGTATAACACAGGTGAATAAAACTAATTAATATATATGTATAAATTATCTACACATGTTACTAACATATTGATTGTTAAGGTAAAAAACTGCTTAACTAATCAAATATAATATTATGATGTAACGTCAGTAATAAGCTTGTTATTAAAAATTATTACTAATTTAATATTTACCAAACCGCAATACTAACGGTATAAATTAGAATTTATAGATACATAGATTGGAATTGCATTGCTTAATCTAAAAAACAATATACTTGTATATCATTATTATAGCCTTTGTTATTCTGTGCACAAAATCTGTAATCGTAAATAAAAGATTGGATTTAAAATTCTGACACAATCGTCCTGGTGTGGAGGTCTAATTTGAATTTAAAATAACACAGAAACTTTGCAAGTCATTCTGTACCACGTCATCTTAAATCATTACTTTGTATCTCTTTTTGGGATAGTATAAAAACAAAACACGTCATGAATAATCGATAATATTTCATCTTTCAGTCCAAGAAAAATAACCAAAGATATACGAGTATGTATGCATTTGCAAATAGAATGGCCAAACGAAGTGTTTACTATTTCGCTCATGAATTAGACGCGGTCTACTTGGTGAGTTATGGTTGACTGCATTGCGGCAAAGATTTCGTGGAGGCTCAACTGCTTCACTTGTTAATGCAATATGTTTAACCTACATTTAACACATTTAGTCATGACCGAACCTTGAATAATTTTTTCTTATTGAGTTTTACCGAATAGTAATTGATACATTTCAACATATAAAAAAAAAACAACGTATTTATGAACTAAGTACCACTGAATACGATTTTAGTTCTACTATATTATATAACCCAATCATAATTTCATAATGAAATCTTTATTCGACCCATGATCTAATTATAAGTAATAATAACTTTTATGTAATAACAGGAGTTATTTGTAATCAATCGTACAATAACTTTAATGAGATCATTGTAAGCTTTATATAAATAAACTCTTATAAACCGAACTAAAAACATCCGCAATTCAGATAATTCCACAAAATTACATTAATTGTAATGTGGTTTATATAAAATGTCAAAAGTAAGTTTAAAATGATGTAAACAAAAAAAAATAGGCCCGCCCACAAGAGGTACTATGCTATTTTGTTTACTATTTGTCATACTGCCAAGGCAAACAAATAGTGATTGTTTATCACATCTGTTTTGTCGTAAAATAAATCTTAAGCACTGAAAATGAAATAATTTTGATACAACTTTGTCTAAAATATTAAGAAAAAAAATATCAAATGTCATCACGTGCATCTATATCTGACCATATCCTTTATAGATAGATATGGATCGTATGGATATTCCCATTTCAGTCATCCAAGGTTATACAGAACCTTCTTCATGTTATTAACAGAATAATAGATACATAGGTAATTTTAAATATTGATCCTACACAACAATTCGACCGTAAATGTTTGCTAATATTTAGCTTTCTTAGACATCTGTGTCTACATTTAAAATCAGAGAGGACAGCAGTGCCCTTGCCAAGGCCAACCATACCAATCATGCCTTACTTTTCTCGAAGTTTTACAGTGTTTTGACCGCCCTGTAACTGTATTTAGATAAAGAAAGAAGTTTAATTTTCGGTGATCAAGATGACATACTATAACTGGCTATATTACCAACATAATAATTATATATATATATATATATATATATATATATATATATATATATATATATATATATATATATATATATATATATATATATATATATATATATATATATATATATATATATACAGATATGTATATATTTTGATTTTAATTATATGAGTTACTTTGTATATATGTCAACATATTTATTATTTCTTAATAGAAACATCTATAATGTTTCCTTCTATTATTGTACGCACACTGCCCGCTGGTAATTAATGCTTCTTTCCACTCAGGGTTTGCTGGAAGAGAACTCTTATAGAGTTAAGCTCGTCTGTTGTACGTCTTTATTTTATATATATTATATGTTTGTAATTTTTTGTGTACAATAAAGAATAAATAATAATATATTTTATAGTTTACGAATTATCGCTAGCCAAATTTCTTTAATTTTGTCATCATCGATTTGCCGAACAATTCCCAAGTAATTATAATTATTATAGAAATAAAGAAATCGTATATTGATATGGTCACTATAAATGTTGATAGGTAATTAATTACATATAAAATACTTAAATAATAATTGAAATATTATTTTTATTTCATTCAAGTAACAAACTTTTTTCAAATAATACGGACCTGGGTTTTCTGGGTTGTATCTCAGATGTTTATCGTCTGATTTCTCATAATACAATACATCCTAGCCTAAGGAATGAGGCAATTGATAAGACGGCGTAATACTTAGGTAATATGTGAAAATTATTATTAAATAAAAGTAAGGAATTACATATAATATCAATCGTTATTAAAGACAATATATTGATGAGTAACAATATAACAATTTTCAGCGGTCGTTCAAAGAAGTCCAAGCTTGCGGAAGGCTTTGCTGCGGCGGCGCAGGTCCGCAGCGAGGGCGGGAGGGGAGTGGGGGGTAGCGTGGGCTGCGCTGACATCACCGCCGGAGCCAGCCGCTCTTACATCACCGTCGAATGCCTCCCACCAGCAGTGACGCCCGCGCGCCTGCTCCAATCCCTCCCCCTCTCACTTATCGATAACTGATCGTAGCACGATACGAGCAGGTAATATTAGACATTACATATTATTTTCATTTAACTACTAGCGCCTTATTAAAATTCAATTAGTGGCCGCTCTAATTAATCGAAAAACACACGCTCTTGGAAAAAATACAAGAACAATCGCATTAATTAACATATTAATGCGAGGATATATTATAAGGAGGATATCAAAACCATCTATTAGAATATTAATAAGACTGTATACTGATCCTTTTATGGAAACAACGGGGATGATGACCTTCTAATAGTGTCAACAAGTTTCATAAATTGTATTTAGTTGTCGCTGTATCGCTGTTGTATTGGCATAGTGTATGAAGGACAAATAGAATTATTCAAAAGCAATCTTATTAGATATTTAAATCGACAAAGCCTTACATAAAGTTATTTTTAGAAATTTTTATTGTCTAATCTAATTCAATATATATAAATAAACACTTTGAATGCATCAATTTGTCATCAAATTCAATGACTTTTTAATCCTGACCCGGTGGAATAGATGAGCAATAGGATTAGGTACACAGGATCAAGGTTAAACTTCGCCCACAGTTACTAGGTACTTAATAAGCGATTTCATGACAATTCGTAGACGTAATTGTCTTAATTGGTAGTGGCCTTCATTAAGAAGTTAATAACATAAATGATGTAGCATAGTAACTTCAGAGATTATTTTAATAGGCACTGTAGCAAAACGAAATAAGGACATGTGAATAAGTGAACAACATTTCGGTATTGTTGCCCGGCACAATATTTCAACAATGCGGTGTATGTGGTTTCAAAGGCTAATAAGCCTATTCCGGAGCTTCGTTGAAGCGAAAAGCGCGGTGTGCCCCACATTTCCCACGGCAATGATGTCAAATTGGTTTATCAATCACGGCGGGACGGATGCGAAGCGGTGTCAGCGCATCCAGCAACCGACAGTGGGCGGTATTATGTTGTACCAAGCCGTTCAGTTCATTGCGGGACTCTAATGAACCAGCGGGGTTCACTACGTAATTCGATATAGTCAACACTAAATTGATATAACAGTTACATACCTAAAATTCGAAAAAAATTATCAATTAAGATAAATTATCACTTACCCACAATGAATTAAGTAATTATAATTGTTTAATCTTTACATCTATTAATGAAGGAGATAGATAAGAACTTAATGGAATTGACGAAGCGAAAAGATTTGTTATTCTGTTACCGTTAGATGTTCACAATCGGTACAGTGGCGTGGACAGGTTTAACAACACTTAGTGATGCGGTCGGTAATTTGAGCATGATTGCTGGTACAACTAGCAACTCGAAATCGCACTCGTGTCCATTGCTCTTTTACAATAGAGGCGCGAGGTCAAGCTTTGTGGCGCATCGATTGTGTTCTATAAAGAACGGGTCGAAGACATCTTTGCAGTATGCGTGTGTATATCGTAACTAACAAGATAATTGAGAACGGAGATCATATACCTATTCATAAAAAAATTACTTGAACATTACGTAACAAAGGTATAAAAATTAATAATTAGATATATTTTTCAGGTATATAATATGACAGATAAAAATATTTATCCGATAGGTCTTGCGCTTAGAATTTATCAACATGTACTCGTGCTATAATATAGGAATTTAATATAATTATCCAATATATCAAATAAAATACGAGTATGTAATTCTACATAATATGTATTTGTATGCAAACCAAGCATGTCATATCTAGAGGTTTGATCAGACGGACCTGAGTTAAGTCTCAGAGTCGATAAATCCATGTTAGTTACGTCAAAGTGTTTAGTGCTTTGAATTGTTTTTATCAATATTTCAAATAAAATATCTACACGCCCATATATAAAAAGTGGAAATAATCGCCTGTAGACAACATCGACACTATGAACTGACACAGTAATATCGCATGTACACGATAATATATGTGACATTACCGTACGATCTTTATACAAACAACAAATTTAGTAAAATGTTTCACTTTCACATCGTCCTATCTCACTTATAATAATGCACACTTCAACGTCTGAATAGATTTAAATGAAATATGATTTACAGATGGACCATATCCTGTATTAACGAACAGGATATTCTTTATCCTGCGAGTATAGCCGCAGCATACAGTTAGTTGAGCGATAAATTCATAGTATATACAACTACTGAGTTCACTTGAGTCATTAGACATACAATTTGTAATTATCTTATCTAAATATGTCACATTATTATAAGGATTGTA